GACAGAGCAGCAGAGAGGAGAGTGGCACAGAGGGCCCCGGGTTGGCAGGGTCCTCCAGAGCACAGCACAGCCCAGAGCCCTGGGCATGTGCAGACACCCCATGAGGCAGGGAAGGGAGCAGGCCTGGGGCTCACTCCTGCTAGAAGGTACCATCCCCATGCACAGATGGGAAAATTCCAGAATTTGTAGGAATTGGTAGAAAATGCAGAAGGGCTTTGCCTTGGTGGTTGGGGACAGCCAACCCTAGAAAGCCTGCTTCAGAACACCTATAAAGCCAAGACACCCAGGATGCTCGGCAGTCTCTACTCCCCTTCAGTGTGCCTTAGAACTGCGCTCACACAGCACCAGCGTGGAGGTCACAGTGTCTGACAGCCAGCAGGAAGTGGCCAGAACTCACTCAATAACACCCAGATGCCTGCTCTAAAGAGACGGGACCTGTGTCAGGAACCTCCCCACAAGGGGACCTGTGGTCTGCTGAACGTTTAAGGAAAGGACGGCACCAACATCAAGACACCAATTCTCTACCAACTCATGTAGAAAGTCCAAGAGGAGAACAGCATGCCCAACTCATTCCCCAAAGGCATCAGCAACCTAGCAACAAGTAGACAAGGACATCATGAGAAAGGAAAATCAGAAAAATCTCTCTTGAACATAGACACTAAAATTCTTTTTCTCTTTTCTTTCTTTCTTTTCTTTTAAGTACTGAAGATTGAACCCAGAAGTACTCCACCTCTGAGCTATAAACCTGCTCTTTTTAAATCTTGAGACTGGGTCTCACCAAGCTGCCCAGGCTGGTCTTGAATTTGCCATCCTCCTGCCTCAGCCTCTTGAGGTACTGGGATTACAGGCATGTGCCACTGTACCTGGCTGGATACAAAAATTCTTTTTTTTTTTAAAGAGAAAGAGAGAGAGAGAGAGAGAGAGAGAGAGAGAGGGAACTTTTCAATATTTATTTTTTAGTTTTCGGCGGACACAACATCCTTGTTTGTATGTGGTGCTGAGGATCGAACCCGGGCCGCACGCATGCCAGGCGAGCGCACTACTGCTTGAGCCACATCCCCAGCCCCTGGATACAAAAATTCTTAACAAAATAATTATTATTTGGAGTTTCTGAAAAGTATATATAGCAATACATAAAAAGGAAAACACATCCTGGGGCTCTCCCCAGGAATGTGATATTAGCTTCACATTAGAATATTCAACGAATTCACCAGAAAAACAAATGGGAAAAGAAAAAAACATGGTATTTTAACAGATGGTGGGGGGAGTATTTTACAAAATCCAACCTCTTTATTGAATACAAAAACAAAACTCTCAGCCAAAGGATCAGGGCTCCATTTGGATGTATGGGGCATGAGGCACCAACTAGGTGTCCCAGTAGAGGCTGCAGGGGTGCTGGGTATTGGAGACATCAAGACAGAAGGTAGAGCTGATTTATGTCCACCTGGACTTGCCAATGTTCACCTAGCCTGCCAAATGTCCTGATGTAGCCCTCCCAACCAGACATACACCCTCTGCAAGAACTCATCCAGTGGTGTTGGGGGTTGAACCCAGGGGTGCTCTACCCTGAGGTTGATATTTTCTCTCATAAGTGGAAGCTAGAGCAAAATAGGGAAAGAAGCAGGGGATTAGAAATCATAAAGGGAAGATCAATGGAGTAGAAGACAGAGAAGGGGGAGGAGGGAGGGGAAAGGGGAGGGGCCATGGCATGGTGTTAACAAAACCATATAAATTACACATACAAATACACCACAGAAAATTCCATCTTTATGCATATATAGAAAGCATCAATCAATTATGAATAATCAAAAGATCAGAAGGAAGAATTGGGGGGGGGGGGCTGGGGCTGAGAAAAAGAAACCCACAACCATGAAATGCGGCTTCAGTGTCCACCGGTCTTCAGAAAACAGGACAGGTGCAGGGCCCAAAGAAACTCCTGCAGACAGCAAAAGCCCTGTCACGTAGTCTGGTTTCCCAGGGGCAGGTATGGGTGGAACTCTCCCCACAGTCCATCAATGCCAGTTTCCCCCAACAGTCCCTCTTGACCAGATGGTGCACATGAGCCACCCTGTTCCGAACAGGTTTCACTGTCACCATCAACAGCTGCACTGTTCCGAAACCCACAGTGCTCAGGGAATCCTGTGGTTCTAGCACACTCACCTAAGCACTGGTGGCCAGAAGCACTTATAGCCATTTCCAGGACGATACTTAGAGACAGATGACGTCAACTGCTGCCATACAGGCCCTGAGGAACACCCTGGGAGTCTAAAGAGGACACCAACATGATTTCCCTCTGGTGCCTGATACTCCTCCTTAGAAAACATGCTATCACTGTACAACTGGAGCTCTATTTCCACAGAAATCTCTAGATGTTTAAACTTGGGACAAAAGTACTGAGGTGGCCTCCACAAAGGGGACAGCCAACCTCAGGGTTAATGCTGGACAGCCTCTGGGCAGAGGTTGGCTTGGAAAGAGGCTGCCGGATTGAGAGAGTTGGGAGGGGCAGGCACCAACCTCCTGTGGCCCCTGAGCCCCAACTGCCTGCAACACCCATCTCTCCACCCCTGGGTCAGTAAAGAGGGCCTGATGGGCAGGCCCTCTTGAGTTTCCCAGGGGCAGTGATCCAAGCATCTGATTAGCATACACATAAACCATCTTTTCAGGGAGAGCTTTTACAAATATTGGCCAAAAATAAACCTGGGGGCCCGCACACACCTTCTTTCTGGAGCAGCTCTGAGGCAGAGTCCGGGACCACACAGCACAACTCCTATCCTATTGGGAGGCCAGCCCAGGATGCCAGACAGTCCTGCCACCCTAGGACTCCGGTGGACAGGGCTGGCCGTGGGAAGCACCACAACGCCCCCATGCCTGAGTCTCCAGAACCATTGGGATGAGGTAGAGTCAGGGAAGTGAATACAAGCGAAGTGACCCGCTCCACCAGCTCAGACACCATCTATTCATGCCAGACAGGAGTGCGGGAGAGCGTTGGAGGGCTGGGTCCTTCTGGTCCAGGCCAAGGTCCCCAACCTCTCTAGGGCGAGCACATGCTCGCGCGGCAGCTCCACGCCTGGGCGCGGCCGGCCAGCCAGCCCACCCAGGCCCGCGTCCACCTGCCTCCTCCTTGGACACCCTCCCGGCCTTCGTGTCCTTTCCTGGCACTGCCCGCGGAGACAACCACCCCCCGGGGGGCCGGAGCGCGCTGGACCGCAGCGGCCAAGCCGCCGACGTCTCCACCGTGGCGGGGGTGGGCGACAAAGTGGCCAGGAGCAGACTTCGCGGCAGGGTTCAAGCAAGGCTTGCACGCAGGGCCCTTGCACGCCCCGGAGCTCGGCTTGGTGACCCGCCGGAGCCAGGAAAATATCCTAAGGATGTAGTGCCTCTCTGCTGGCCGCCTTGGGGTCACGATTTCGAGGGTGCGTCCTTCAGGGGCCGGAGAGCGGTTGGACCCACGAGGCGGCTGCAGGAGGCGTCGGCCTCCTGGAGCACCTCTCCTAGCAACACCCACGACAGCCGTCTCGCGAGGGATCCTAGGGAATGTAGTTCTTTGCCGGCTCGGGACCCAGTCATCCGGACTACATTTCCCATAGCACTCCGCGCGTATTCCCCTAAGTCTCGCGAGAATTCTGGCCGGATCCACCCGGCAAGCGGGCTCTTGCGTGAGCCGCCGGGAGTTGTAGTCTTCTTCCAGAAGCCGCACCCGCCTGCGCCGGGGCGAGGATGGAGGAGAGACTACAAGTCCCAGGTGGCGCGGCGTGGCTGTCCGCGGGGCGGGGGGTACGAAAGAGGAACCCGGGGGCGCGGGGTGAGTGAAGGGCTGGGGCGGGAGGGGGCGGCAGGCCGGACAAAGACCGGGAGGTAGGGGTTGTTGCGGGCCGCCTGAGGCCCAGCGGACTCCCCCAGTGTCCGGCAGTCCGCCGCCGCCTCGCCCGGGAGCCGGGAGGAAGTGCGGTGGGCACGCAGACGGACTCAGGGCCAGAGGGCTGCGAGGAGGCGCCCTGGAGCCGGCAGGGCGCGGGCTCGGAGGAGGCGGGGGCGGCCCTGGGTCCCGGGGCTGCCCAGTAGTGCGGTCAGCGACTCGGGTCTCCAGCTCTGTTGGTCCACTACGCCGAAGCGGCGTTCAGCGTGCAGTTTGGGCCGGGTGTGGACGCGTTTCTTACTGCATGTCGGCAAATGCCCCCGCACCTCTTGGCTGGATTCTGAACTGCAGAGCCCTGCAGATTTGAAGGTGTCAGTCAGACTTGTCCTTGTTGTGGTCGTTTGTCTCTTAGTGTTGTATGCAGGGAAGGCAGAAGTGAGAGGAGCTTCTTCGCGTTTTTTTGTTTGTGTTGTTGGTTTTTGTGGTGCTGGGTATTGAACCCTGAGCCTCACACGTGCTGGGCCGTGTGAGCTCTGCTGCTGAGCCCTACCTTCCTCTGGTGAAATCCTGGCAGACAGTGTTTGCTTGAAGGCCCAGCCTGGGCGGTCAAGGCTGGGAAGGAAGTCTCACAGCGCCCCTCATTGTCCTGTTTTATTTCTTGCTAAGAGCTACTGATCAGTAGTTTGTGTTGGGCCAGGATTAATGGCTACTTTATTTTTAGTAGCTCGTAGAAGGAAACGAGATCTGGATTTTATTTTCCTGACACATCCTGCTCCCAATATTCTTCCCAAAAGCCAAGTAAGCAAACATCTTGACAGGCAGTCACCTGAGCTATCTGATCCATAGGTAGCATCCCTGTGTGCCAAAGGCAACTCCGGCCCCCCCACCCCCTTCCTCCTGGTTGTTCTCCTTGTTAACTTGGGTTTATCAGGTAGCTTGTTTAAAGAACAACCTCTTGCCACCATATCACTGAGGTTTTGGCACCCTTAGTGTGGAGCCACCCTGCATAGGCCCCAGGTCCAGCCCTGCTCTGGTGGCAGCAACACCAGAGGTCTAGAATTCTTTTTTTACAGCCCATCAGATGGCTGGCAGCGCTTGTTCTCTGTCAAAGCACAAGATGGAATTTTAGATCAGGAGGGTAAGTTCACCGGTTCCGAGCTTTCTGTTCTCTAGGGTCCTCTCAATCTCCCTGATCAGCAGATGGAGTGACTCACTAGAGTTGCAGAACCCAGAGAGGGGTCCCGTCATTCTCTGTCCTGGCTGACCTTAGAGGACAAGGGTCAAAACGTTGGCTGCTTTTTCCTTGGCCCTTTTACTTCCTTGACTTTTGTCTCCAAGTTTTTGGTTTTAAACACCCAGCAAGCCTGTTTCACCAGTCAGATGGCCAAAGTTGTGACTTAGTCCGGAGTTCAGTTTCCTTTTTCTCAAAGTGGACCATGATGGAGCAACCAGTACTGTCCCCTAACTCTCCTGCAGTTGGCTGTCAACAAGTTCACCAGCACCATGAATCCTCATCATGGGAATGGGGTTCCTTGGAGAGCCAGGCCTGCCCAAGAAATCTGGAGCAGGGGCTACTCTCGGTTGCTAAGTTTGTTGTTGAAAGCTTGGTCTTGAGATTTTCAAAGTAGAAAATGAACTGCATTTAGTTAATTGTTGAAGTGTAATTTACGTCCAGTGAGGGGCACAGGTCTTGTATCCAGTTCCATGGGTTCTGATATACACATCCACCCACTTACTCCATGCTCCTGTCAGATGTAGTACCTGCCCGTCATCCCTTGAGGTTGCCTTTCAAGCCTTTCAGGACCGTGCCTCAGCAAGTGTTTGTGACCTGACCACTTTCTGTAGTGTCATGGAGTCACATCCCACCTACAGCTGTGCCACCCACCACTCAGCCATATGGGTGTATTTCTGGTGTGGCTAAAGAAGTTATGTGCAATTTTGGACCGTTTTTGTGGGCATGTGTTTTTCTTTCTCTTGGGAGGACAGCAGGAGTGCCACTGCCATGGCCAGGTGTGCAGTTCCTCAGCTCTGCATCCCCACCATCCAGGTGCCTGGTGTCTGTCATTCATCTCCCATGGTGTGATGATGGCATGCATTTTTCTTCTGTGTATTATGTGCTCAGATGTCTGTTCTGAAGTGTCTCAAGGCTTCACCATGTTTTTTATTACTGAGTTGTGACAGTCTAATCTGTATTCTATAAACAGGGCTTTTATTAGGTAGTATTTGTCTTGCAAATATTAACACCCCACACTCTTTTTTTTTTTTTTTTGGCTACAGGGGATTGAACCCAGAGGTTCTTTACCACTGAGCTATGTTCCAATCATTTTTAAGATTTTGAGGGGCTTCACTAAATTGCCTTGGCCTCCAGAGTCCCATTCTTTGAACTGCCTATTCATGTTATCAATAGTGTAATTTACATTTTTTTATTTTGGAACAGATTTAGACTCTTATTTTGGGACAGATGCACTTGCCCCGAGATAACGGCTCACCTGACCTTGTTCGAACTTGCCCTGAGGTAACGACGGGCTCACCTGACCTTGGTGCCCTTATAAGTTATGGGGCTGCAGTGGCATCACTGTGCATGTCCCCAGCTTTGCCCCTCCAGGGCCCAATGCAGGACCCCACATTGTGTTTGGCTGCTGTGTCTTCCCCAGGCTGTGGCTGTGTCTCACTCTCTGGTGAATTCTTAGGATCTGAAGAGGCTTGGTGGAGTGTTTGTAGAACATCCTGTTTGGGTTCCTCAGGTGGACTGACATGAGGGACTGTCACGTCACTCATGGCAGACTGAAGGAGCACCAGGGGTGATCAGGTGAGGTGCTGATCCCATCACACCCCTTTAGGGCATCTCTGACGTCCACAGAATACCCCTGGCCTGGTTGAGATGGTGTTTGTAGGTGTCTGCTGCAGAGTTGCTCCTTTCCCCTGTCCCTGCTGTCTTACAGTGAGTCTCTGTCCAGCCCATGCTGGGGATGCTATCTGGGATTCCTCTGTAAAGAGTGTCTCTTTTGTGGTGTGTTTGGCCATCAGTCATGCACTTTCACCAGCGTGGACGTGCCCTGCACTGGCCGTGGTTTATGCACTGTTGCCAGCCTGGACACACCCTGCACTGGCTGTGGTTCATGCACTGTTGCCAGCATGGACACACCCTGCACTGGCCATGGTTCATGCACTGAGGCCAGTGTGGACGTGCCCTCCACTGTCTGTGGTTCATGCACTGTCACCAGTGTGGACGTGCCCTGCACTGGCCATGGTTCATGCACTGAGGCCAGTGTGGACGTGCCCTCCACTGTCTGTGGTTCATGCACTGTCACCAGCGTGGACATGCCCTGCTCTGGCTGTGGTTCATGCACTATTGCCAGCATGGACGCACCCTCCACTGTCTGGTTCATGCACTGTGGCCAGTGTGGACGCGCCCTCCACTGACTGTGGTTCATGCACTGTCACCAGTGTGGACGTGCCCTGCACTGGCCATGGTTCATGCACTGTCGCCAGTGTGGACGTACCCTGCACTGGCTGTGGTTCATGCACTGTTGCCAGCGTGGTCGTGCCCTGCACTGGCCGTGGTTCAAGTATTGTCACCAGTGTGGCACTGTGCACTGGCTGTGGTTTGGGGCTCGGCCACGTATTTCTGCTTGTGTAGTCTCAGCTTTGGTGTTGGGGCACTTTCATCTGGCTACTGTCTTTTTGATTTTTGAGCACTTTCTTTCTCATGCTATAAGGTACTTTGGGCTCATGCTCCTATGTTTCCTGCCCTAGACCCAGGATCAGCCACTTCTCCAGGGAGCCCTCATTCCTAAGATTGGAGGGTGGTCTTAGAAACTAGAATCTAGGGGGCTGGGGATATAGCTCAGTTGGCAAAGTGCTTGCCTCACATGCACAAAGCCTTGGGTTCAATCCCCAGCACCGAGAGAGAGAGAGAGAGGGGGGGGGGAGGGAGGGAGGGAGGGATATATATGAGAATCAAGGCCCAGGTGCTCCTTTTGCTTCTAGGACCTCAGTGGACAGAACTTGCTGATAGATCTGATTACATAATCAGATCTATGTGTCTGTAATCTCTAACCTGGAACATGCTGTTAGGCTGTTGCCACTCTGGGTAAGACCCTGTTGCCCACCATCTGCAGCCCATTTCCTTCTTCATTCAGCCCCAGTGTGCATGCAGAGCACCCTCAGAATTGTTCCTCATATCCCTTAGGCTGGTCAGAAATAAAGTTACCAAGTAGAGCACAGAGTTCTATGAGTTACAGTGGAGTTTTTTGTTTTGTTCTGTTTTGTAAATTCCTTAGGATTATATGTAAACAATTGTATCATCTGTATTGAGACAGTTTTACTTTTTCCTTTCTAAACCTTTTTTTTTGGTACCAGGGGTTGACCCTGAGGGGTCCTTAACCATTGAGCCACATCCCCAGCCTGTTTTTGTTTTTTATTTTGAGACAGGGCCTCACTAAGTTGCTGAGCCTTTCTAATGTTTATGGCTTTTCTTTTCTTTCTTTTTACTACATTGGCTAAAACCATAGAACAGTGATAAATAATGTAATGACCATATTAAAAAGGAGAAAAAACACATGATCACTCCAGTAAATGTTGAAAAAGCATTTAATAACATTTAAACCCCTTTCATGATGAAGGAAAAACCTCTTAGCAAACTAGGAGGAGAAGGGAGCTTTGTCTGTGTGATAAAAGGCATCTGTGGAAAACCTACACTAGATGTTGTACTTAGCAGTGAAAAACATGAAGTACTTTATTCCTAAAATCAAGCAGCTAGCATTGCGCCTGGAGCCCTTACCTTGGCAGTAAGGTCAGAGGTAAAAACCAAGTTGGTTTCATCAGAGCATAGAGGACAAGTAAAACTGGATTTGCAAGTGATGTGGTTATGTAGAGAGCCTAAGAAATATTTTTTTAAAAAAAGCTGAGTATATTAAGTAAAATCACGAAGATCTTGGAAATAAAAGTTTATATGCAGAAATTAACTGTTCTGTTATGTATTAACAGCAAACCATTAGAAAATGAAATCAGAAATTCTTTTGTTTATAATCATACCAAGAAATAAAGTATTTAGTAGTAAGTCTAACTAAAGATATGCAAAACCTCTTCACTGAGAACACAGAGCACTGGCTGTGGGAAACTGAAGTGACCTAGCATGGGGGAGAGCGTGTTTGAAGTGGAGGACTTGACATTGCTGGAAGACCAGTCCTCCCTGCAGAACTCATGCAAGCCTTTTCTGTGAACTGACAAGCTGATTCTCAAACGAGGATATGCATGTGACCTAGAACGGCCCACACTGTTGTCAAAAGCGGGTTCTTGTGGCCTGACCTCTAGCTGTGTATACGCAGCTTCAGCAACGCAGTATCCTGCAGCTGAGGGGCTGTGCAGTGATGCCGAAGAGGACAGCCGTTGCCCAGCACAGAGACAAGTACAGCAAGGCTGGGATGGCGGTTAGAACAGGTTTACTGCAAGGCCAGGGAAAGACTGAGGGGCACCCTAGATAGGGGTGGGCAGTGGTGAGGGAGAGGAGGCCCAGCCTCCATGGGTGGAGTGCCACTTAGCCACTGAAAGGCACAGATGTGCAGATCAACAAGGCACTTCCAGAGGCCCTGTGCCATGTGGCATAGCCAGACACAAGCTATACATGCTAAGTGACCCCTTTGTAAGAAGTTCTAGAATACAGCTCAGTGCAGTGGCATATGCCTTTAATCTCAGCGGCTTGGGACGCTGAGGCAGGAGGACTGCGAGTTCAAAGCCACCCTCAGCCACTTAGCCAGGCAGTAAGCAATTCAGTAAGATCCTGTCTCTAAATAAAATACAAAAAAGGGCTAGGGGTGTGGTTCAGTGTTAAGCACCCCTGAGTTAAATCCCTGGGACCAAAAAACCAAAGAAATTTTAGAAAGCAGATTTGTGGGTTTTAGAAAGCAGTGGGTGCCCGGGCCAGGGCTGGCAGGAGAAAGGGTTGCAGAGGGCTGTACTGCAGGTTCCCTGATGATGTGCAGTCTCACAGATACGTGGTGTGCATAGCTTTCCAGAACCCCCAGGTTGTGTGTTGTACGTGGACGAAGTCTGTTGTGTGCCAATTGAACCTCAATAAAATTGACTAAGCAGTGCCAGTGTGACTGGAGTCTTGGACTTTTGGTTCCTTTTGTGACTTGACCTGGCCCTGGTTACCTTTCCCAGAAAGTGAGAAGGGACCCTGACACCAGTTTTCCCCAGGGCCTGGGGAGATCTACTGAGCACATGTTAAATGGACAAAAAGAAAGGATGAGACTTGACCACATCCTGTAGGTGAGGGGCTCCATCTAAGAGGACTAGCCGTGAAGGAGGACTTCAGGAAGTGTGCACTTTTAGTGGGGTGGATCGCTGGCACTCTTCCAGAAAAGGCAAGCGCTGCTGTAGGCAGGAGGGCACTGGACCTGGCTTCATAGAAAACTATCCTGCAGGACTGGACACTGTCTGGACCACACCGTGTGGTTACTTTGCCAACAGACCTGGATGAATCTGGCATAAAGCAAATTACTGGACAGATGTGGGCCCCTCCCTGTCAGGGGACCAGAGCTTGTGCCTTCAGTCTTTGCCTTCCTGGGCTGTGTGGACCCCATAGTCCTCTCCCCAGGATCCCCAAGGGGGAACTTGCCCACTACCCTGGGCCAGTCAGAGAGCACCGTTCCTTATTCCCCAGCCTCAAACTGGAACATCTCTGCATTCTTCCTGAGGACCTGCCTGGAAAGGAAGTGGGGACTGCTGCTGTGGAAGAGTGTCCTCGGTGCCAAGGTGTCCTACAGTGTGCTGCTCCCACCCCGCAGCTGTGTTTAAGTGCAGAGTTTCCTGGAGGTAACTAACATGAAAATATGTATCCAGCAGTGTCTGGGACATTACGCCATGAGAATCACCCTGTGAGTTAAGTGAAATTTGTTGAAAGTAATACAAATGGGGGGCTGGGGCTGTAGCCCAGTGGTAGAGCGCCTGCCTTGCACATGTGAGGCACTGGGTTCCATCCTCAGCACTACATAAAAATAAATAAAGATATTATGTCCATCTACAACTAAAAAAAACAGTAGTACAGATGATATCACTTCAAGGTTGTGTGGTGGGTGCTGCTAATGCTCTCTCTTATGTTACAAATGTGAGGTGAAGCCAGGCCTGCTGACCTGGGATCCCAACAACTGGGGAGGCTGAGGCAGGGGAGATCCCAAGTTCCAGGCCAGCCTCAGCAATTAAATGAGACCCTGTCTCAAAAAAAAAAGGACTGGGGATACAGCCCAGTGGTAAAGCACCCAAGTTCAGTCCCCAGTACCAAAAAACAGTAAACATGTTGTGACTACTAAGCCACATGATGGTCAGGTGTCAGGAGTTAGGGTGAAGAAGTCTCCTTGCACTGTGTTTGCTCCCTGGGTCCCTCCGCCCAGGACTAGAACTTTTTGAACTCTAGCATTATTCTGGACCTATGTCTGCCTGCCCTAGGGACCTAGCCACCCATGGGGAAAAAGTCTGGGTGACAATGCCCAAGACTCCAACAGAACCTTGAGAGGTGTCATCTGGTCTTGGGAGACCAGAGATGCAATGCCCTCGTTTGCAAACGCCAACCCAGTGAACCTGTTGGAGAGAGATCAGGATGCCCCTCTGACCAACTCTGGACTCACCTTGCTGGGAAAGTGGGAAAGTGGTCTTTACAGTGACCAGCAGCAGGCCTCACCTAATGGTCTTGATTCACAGGCCTTGGACCCTGGGCCTGCAGAGCTCAACGGTCAGGCCGATGAACTCCACGCCCTCTGGCCAGGCTTTCTACTGAGCACCTGGGTGAGGAGCTGATGTCTGCAGCTCTCATCCTGGAGGGGCAGGTAAGGGTGCCCTGGACCGCACCCACAGACCTCACAAGGCAGGGACCTGTGCGCATGCCCCTGCTTGCCACAGCCCATCAAGCCTGCCAGGTCCTCCCCAGCTCTGGGCACTCTCACTGGCATGGCAGCCCCTCCCCTTTCTCACGCTGCACCCCCCACTTCAGAGCTGCTCCTTTTGCAGCCCCGCCCCTTCCAACTATGGCTCCACCTCCCTGACATGTTCCCTTCTTTTCCTGCTTGTGTCCCTGGCACTGCCCTCCTCTCTCGCAGGCCCCGCTGTCCTCCTGCTCCTGGCATGGCACTGCAACGCTTCACGCTCCTGGCTGGCCTTCTGGTGGGAGTTGCCAGCAAGTCCACAGAAAGCGAGGTTGGTGTTCCTGTCACATGTCCAGGTGGCCATTCTCCAGGGAGGCAGTGGGCCCTTCCCCTTTAACCTTAGGAGTCTTGGCACTCAGCCCTAGGGATGATGGAGTTCCCTGCTGGGGTCCAAGGGGCTTGTATCTTGAAGAGGGCAGCAGACATGCCCCATATGGTGGCTGTTTGGTTCTACCTTCTAGAAGACTGCCAGCGCTCAGCATGTGTGCTGTACATGGGTTCAAGGGTTGGGCCTGAGTTCATTTGCCCTGAACGGCTGACCTGGCCTGGGCACTTTGTCTGAGACCAAGCTGCAAAATCAAGGGGCATAGATGGAATTGCAGAGGGCATCAGTGAAGTGCCCATCCCTGTGGGGGTATGTTGGTCGTGCCAAGCCTTGGCAAGGCCCTGGCCAGCCTCCCAGTATTCATCGTGGTCCAGAAGAGTGTCCTTTTTCTCAAGACCGTGTCATTAGAACTGGTACTACAGTTCCTGGAGTGACTGATATCAATGATTCACTGACAGGAGTGTCTGCCCTGTTTCTCCCTGTGGCCCACAAGGTGAGAGGTTGAGGCTGGAGCAGCTCTGCCCCGACCAGGGAGACCCTGTGGAGAAGGGGCCTTGGCCACCTCAACTTCCCTAGTGAGGTCTTAAGGGCAGGGAGAGGAGACCCCATGAATGTACGCCCACAGCCTGGGACATCTCCCCAGGTGGGGCTGGACACCTTCCTACCCCCGTAGGTGAGGAAGTGTTCTTTTCCTCAGCCGTGTGACTGAGGCACCTGCGACAAGGGACAGACGTATGAGAGAAAGCCTTTGAATGTGAGTTTTACATTACATGGGAGCCTTCATAAGGAAACGGTGTCCCAGAGAAGTGGCGATGCTGAGTGATTGTGCGCAGGCCTGAGGAAGAGGGATGGTCCTGACCAAGTGTGCTGGATGGAGAGTGTGATCTGATGGCCATGAACCAGGATCTGTCCAGGAGGGTTGGTCAAGATTCTTCTCTGTATCTTTCTCTCCTTGGGCATGGGCAAGGCCCTCTCCCTTGGGGTCTCCTGGTCTGCCTGAGGGACAGAGGGCAGAAGAGGTCAGAGAGACCTGCTTTTGCTCTTTCTCAAATGCACAGAATTCTGAGTCCTATCACCTCCAGGCCACAGTGCAGATCAGGCTCCCAGGGCCTCTCCTGCCTGGCCTTTGGGAGTGAGGAGGCTGCTGTGGAACCTGTCTGCTGGGTGTGGGCCCCAGGCAGTTCATGTGGTCATCCAGTGTTCAATGGCCACACGCCCTGCACAGCTCAGACAGTGCTATCCTCACCTTGGAGGGGCGTCCAGGGCCACGGGGCAGAATGGAACAGTGACTCTTGAGATATGTCTGGTCAGTCGTCCAGTCTCCACCCTGCTGCATGGGATCTCCCTGGCTCACTCTGTACTACACTGAAGTTTTCCCTGGAGCCTGCCCAGAGTGGGGCTCTTGCAGGGGCAGGCATGTGTCCTCGCCTGCTTCTAGGCCAGGGGGGAAGCCGGGAGCCTGTTGCTGACTAGAAGAGGCAGAGCCATGAACGCTCACAGTGGACTGACAGTGTTGCCCTTGCAGAGCCTGCTATTGTCACCCCTCCAGGCCCAGCAGCCTGAGTGCTGTGTGGACGTGATGGACGCCAACACCACATGCCCAAGCACAGGCCTGTGTGGCCCAGGTGAGCCACTTTGTCATAAGCAGTCCCCTGAACAGCTATCAAGCCACCAGCCCATGGTAGGCATGTGTCCCTGCCTGCCCCTCTTCAGTGGTGAGGACAAGAAGGGTTTAGCCCCAGTACAGCTCATGTCCAGTGCTAGCTTCCAACACCCACTATCAATATTTATGGACTCTATGTCTCTGGCCTCAGTGCTGTGCTGAATGTTGGAAAGAAGTACAGGAATAATACCCAGTCGCTACCCTTACAGGAAGCTGGAAGACAGCTGCTCACAGGCTGTTGGCCAGTAGGAGCTAGGCCACTCCAGCACCTGGGCAGGGAGAGGGTGGGACTTCAGGTAGTGAGAGTCTGATAAGGAAATTTGGCTTGATCCTGCAGGGAGACCCTGGGGGGGGGGGACAGTACAAGGATGCAGTAGTTACAGATGAGGGTTGTATCTGCCCTGAGTGGGTCCCAGTGAGTGTGGAGTGCCTGAGGCAGCTACACGCATGCCCTGAAGGAAGTGGTCCTGGGGGAGCCGTGGTCCGTGAGCCTGGGTGGCAGGAGGTGGAGGCCAGGCCTCCAGTTCTCCAGAGCATGAGGCCACCACACTGTTAATCTCAGATTCCCATCACCAGCCTCTGGACTGATGCGGCCTCCTCAGCACCAGGCCTCCACAGGAATCTGGGGCCAGAGTGACGTGCTTCCTATGGTGTTTGTTCGTTTCTCTGGATTTAGAGCCTTTTGTTCCACCCAAACTTCCAGTGTCCGTGTTTTTGAGTGATGGTTGATTTATAAACTCAAAAGATACAGAAATGCTCCAGGATACAGTGGACTGGCCTGGATTCTGCCTCTGCTGAGAGCCGCCTGCCTTCTGTGTAGGCTGCTATAGACGCTGGAACGCGGACGGGAGCACCAGCTGCATCCGGTGCAGGAACGGGACGGTGCTGACCTATAACAGCTCTGAGTGCAGAAGCCGTATGTCTCCCAGATTGCTGCCCCCATACTCCTCCCAGGTCCTGGACTTCTCACAGGGGTCCACATCTCCAATTTTGGGGAAACTGGAGTGGCCGCCCTTGTCCCCACAGAACCACTATCCATCATCAAATAGCCCCCAGGAGCCCTTTCTTCCTGAGTCCTGTGTCCATGAGGAGCAGCTGTGGGGCGAGGACTCTCTAGTGTCTGGTCTGAGGTTCAGGCAGGGTTGGGGTCTTGCTGGGGTCCTGTGCCTGGCCCTGGCCTCCCCTCTGTTCTGCTCCCCACAGTTGCTGCCTGGGGTGCGCAGTTCCCCATGAACAGAAGCACAGGGCTGCCTGGACGGCCACATTTTGGTAAGTCTTAATTCACCTGGCCAGAGCCAGGCCTGGGGTAGAGGCTCCTTAGAGCCATTGCAGCACAGACCCTGACAGGGTACTGATGGGCCACGATCAGACTTCAGACCCAGCCATGCGCTCTGTGACAGGGACCCTGACCATGAAATAGGGATTTCTGAGAATCCAGTGGCTCATGAGGCTGAGGTCTGAGGGCTGAGTGTGGCAGGTACTGGGTGTGCCCTGGTGTGGGGGGTGCCATATCCTTCATGGTCTCAGAAGGGCTGTTGGTGGAAGCCTTCACTGCCGCACCTTCTGTCTGGTCCTTGCCTCATTCCATGGCTGCCGTGGCCCCTGTGACCTCAGGCCCCAGCAGGAGTCTGCCCTTCCCAGTGGTTTTTCCAGGGCATAGGCTTCTAAGACGGCAGGCATATGGGCCACACAGAAATGCCTGCCACAGCACTGTCCTCGGGATGTTCCCTGTCTCTAGGTAGTCACTTCTCCCTGGCCTGCAGTCTACTTGAGTTGAGGGCCTGGTCAGGCCGGGGGTGGGAGTGTGGCTAGGAGAGGCTGGGGAGGGTGGGACCAGGTGAGAGGGAAGATCCGGACAAGGCAGGAGCTGGGAGAGGGGCCAGCACCCAGGGGGAGGGCACCATAGTCAGGGAGTGAACCCAGCTCCAGAGCAAGGTTGCCTCCTTTGCTTGAGGTGACTGAGTTGCTGTGGGGAACATCATCCCAGCCACTCATCTAGCAGCCCTGGGCTGGACCTGGGTCCGAGATCTTAGGCTCAGAGTTCTGTTCTGAGAGGCTCAGCTCTTCCCAGGAATTTGAGCCTGGCCTTTTCCTCCCCAGAAAATATGTTTGAGCTCCAAGGTGGCCTCAGGCCCAGCACTGGCCTGGACTGCAGAAGCCAGCAGCACAGAGCAGTGTCCCATAGGGAAGGGCCAGCTCTGACAGCTCATGGCCTCCTGTAGCACAGGGCTAGTTGGATGGCAAGGCCATGGGTCTGGCAAGGGCACCTGTGCCTCAGGGTGAAAAAGTGGCTTCCCCAGGCACCTAAAGCATCTCCTCTATCCCATGGTCACAGATTGTCCACAGTCCTTGGCCCTGAGCCATCCTGTCCTGACACTGAGCAGGTACAGATGGGCAAGGAGCAGCTGCCAGCACCCGAGAGGTAGAGTGTGGCAGAAGCACCTGCTGCAGGTTGGAGCTCTGACCCTGCACAGTCTCAGGGGGAGCCTAGGGTCTGAACTTCTGGAGCATGGAATTCATGAAGGCTTCTTTCCCTTTTACCTTCCCCCTCCCTCTCCCCAGGAAGCCTGGGCCTATGTCCAGGTGTGCTGGCCCCTTGCTCCCTGTGAGGGCTCAGGTGTGTTCAGGAATGGTGGCCTGGGTTGGGCGTGGACCCCGGGCCCCTGGCATGCCGCAGTTGAGACTGGCCACTAGAGTGGCTGATTTGCCTGTAGGGGGTTCGCACGTGGCAGCTTCCCTCTTCCTGGGGACGTTCTTCGTCAGCGCGGCTCTCATCCTCTGTGTGGCTGGGTTCTTCTACCTCAAGCGCTCCAGTAAGCTCCCCAGGGTCTTCTACAGGAGAGACAAAGGTACTGCACCCCTCCTCCTCCCACTCAGGGGCCTAGGTGCTGCCCAAAGGGACAGAGCAAGTGCCAGGACCCCTCTCTGCCTACCCTGCACCAACATTTGGGTGCCTTCTGGGGGCTACTATAGCTTCAGGTCCTGAGAGTCCAAGGCTGGGCTTCTGCTGCTGGTAGGAGTCTTGGGGTCTCCAGTCAAGATAGGTGCCTTGGGGTCAGCTCCCAGAAATGCCCACCCAGCATTTCTGCCTTCCAGGCCATCCCTAGAGCAGAGTCGACCCTGGGTGTGGCCATCTCAGGTGGCCCAGGGAACCCCAGTGGAGGCACCCAGGCCCTTATGAATAACTTGGGGCTGATGGCCACTGCCTCACTTGCAGCACCTCTGGGAACCCAGAGGATGGAGGGGTCTCTGTCCCCCTCACTGGGTTCTTTGAGCCAGAGAAACCACCTGAGGAGCATGGCTTGTATGCTCTGGGAAAGTGGGAGGGAGGTTTCTGGGAGGTGGCTCTTCCTGGGATGCTTGAGTGGCTTGCCCCAGGTGCAGGCCATGAATGTGGCAAAGCTGAGACTCAGCTGAGGGCACTGCTGGGCAGAAGTGTGGAAGTGGTACCAGACCCAACCTGGATCCTGGGAAGAGCCTCTGCCTGCCTGTGGACCTCACTGGATGCAGGCAGCTGCTTGGCTCCAGGGTGATGTGCTGTTTTCTTCTGCAGCCCCAGGCCTGCAGCCTGGCGAAGTCGTAAGTAATCTACACCCTCCCGGCTGAGCGTCCTGGGCTCCGTGTCCCATGCTGAGCACCCAAGATCTCACTCTGCCTCTCTCTCCTTTCAAGGCTGCAATGATCCCCCCACCACAGTCCTCAGGTAAAGGCAGGTTATGTCACCCGGGGGTTCTTGTCTCTGGGCCAGTTTTCAAATGCCAGACCCAGGGACCTCTACAGGTTTGTCCCTAGACACACATGCCCACCTCTTGGGTCCCAAGGAGACCACTACATGAAGGAGGGACCGGCGCTTGACAGGCACCCCTGGTGCCCATCAGCCTACATGGCTGTGTGCTGCCCCTTCCTCTTCAGGTATTGAGACTGAGAGAGGAGAACCCAACACAGGGCCAGACCTTCCCCTCACTTCCTGCAGCCCTGCTCAAGTCCATCTCTGCCTGAAGGGTACAGGGAGCAGGTCAGCCCCTGGGTCTTGCCCCACCAGGCACCCCCACCCAGTTGTGACCCACTATAAGAGGAGACTGTGAAGCTAAGTCCCTGACCACAGTCACAGCTGTGAGCCCAGAGCAGAATCACCCAGCCTCCCTCCCCAGGCCATGCTCTTCCCACTGTGCAGAGGTCCGGGCGGGGACAGGCGGCGTGTTCCTCTCCTCTGGGGCAGAGCAGTTCCTAACCAAGGCCCAGCCTACCTGTTCCAGGCAGCACTTGGCTCAGGTCTGAAGCAGCCTCATCCACAGCATCTGCAAGGGCACAGGGCCCCAGGTGGCTGGGGCCTCATGGCAGAGTAGACCCCAGGTGGCTTAGTCAGCAGGAGCTCTCTGACAGCTCTCAAGGTTGGAAGGTAGAAACCGAGGAGTGGGAGAGGGGGACACTGGGCATGGCATTTAGGGCCCACCTGGTTGAGGCAGGAGGGTCTCATCTGAGATCTGAATCACATCTTCCCAGACCTTTTTCCCAAATGAGGTCACACTTGCAGGCTCTGGGGCTTAGGGCATGGTCCTAGAAATGCATAATGCCTGCACTTTAGTCTTAAGGGACAGCCGGGCCCTGATCCAGGCCCAGATGTGTGGGTGCAGGGTCCCAGGGTTTAATGGGAGACAGCCAGGCTAGGCTCCCGGGGGCATCTGGCAGGAGGAACTGTCTCTTGACAAGTGGGAGCCTGTGGGAGCTCTAAGGGCAGGAGCGCCTGGTCTCTTCCTTGGTCAGAGTCAACAGGCCCCTGTGGTGCCCCACACCTCCAGCTACATCCTCAGCCGTCCTTGAGCCTCTGTCCCTGGCTCTGACACAGCTCATCTCTGACCCCATTTCAGTGCGAAAACCAAGATATGTCAGGCGCGAGCGGCCTCTGGACCGGGCCATGGACCCTTCTGCCTTCTCCACAGCAGAGGCCCGAGTCAGCAACGTCTGACCTGGAAGCTGATCAAGACTGCACTACCTGCAGCTTGGAGGCTGGAGGACTCCTCAATGAGCCCCCCACACAAAGGGCTTGTCACCTGGGGCTTGGGACAGGCCAGACCTGGCTCCCAGTGAGTGACAGGCTGAATGGGAACCACCCACTGGTTCTTGAAAGTCCTTTTGCTCCATCCACACTGCTTGGTTTGACCAACAGGAGCGGGCAGATGTGAGACTGGGGGCTCAGGCCACAGCCAGACCCACATAGCCAGAACTGTTAGCAGACGGCAGGGGTCACTAGGCTGCTTTGCACCTTGAGAAACCAGGGGAGGCTCTACCGTCTGGAGTCCATGGTAGCAGGACCCCTCCAGTACCCCCAGCCCAGTGGCCCCCACAGACCCTCTAAGAGGAGTGAAGCTGAGGCCTGGCCGGCAGGCAGGACGTGGCTGTGAACCAGCTGCCTAAGTCTGAGGCCTTCAGGTCGTCTTGCTCCTGTGGTGGCTGGGAGGCCACAGCCACACCCTCAGGAGCTACAGAACTGAGTTCCCTGAGGCACTGCTGTCCCAATCCCAGTCCTTGCACCCCAGGCATGACACACTGGCCAGCAGACACCCAGGCTGGGCACCCACAGTGTCCACACATGGGTCTTCCACATCCGAATCCCCAGGTTTTCGGGCCCGTGGAAGGCATGCTGGCCAGCGGCCCTTGCCCGGTGGTCCTGTCCCAGCCATCCCAGGCCACCAGACACTGCCTGCACATGGCTAGCTTGGCTGGGGCCACCAGCCCAGGCTTCCTGTAGAGGAGGCTCGATGGTGGCCGCCTCCTACGTGCTGGGCTCAGCACTTAGTGGTCTGTCACCGTCCTCAGGTGTCCTGCCTCATTTCCATTGAGCCTGGCCCACTTCTTGGGGACGTGGCTGTGCTCTTGGCACTGTGATTCTGTGTGCAGCTCATCATCCGCGAGTGGTGGACTTGATCTCCGAGGCTGGCCAGCCACTGGCCCAGCAACAGGGGTGGGGTCCCAATCTGAAGTCAAGTCGAGTAAACTATTCAGAGCTTCTCCTTCCCTGCCTTCTCAGGGTCCTAAGGGTCATCTGTTCTTTTAAATATGTGTGGCTGCCACCCCCTTCCAAGCCGGTACCACCCACCCCACTGCCATATGCAGGGGACAGGGAGACAGCAGGATCCAGGAGTGCTACTACCTAGTTCCTAGTCAGGGGCCTCAAATCGGGGACTGCCTGGCTCCTGCCAAGGGCCCACCCCTGAATTCACCCCTTCAGCTCTCAGGGTGTCCCCCAAAAGACAGCTTGCTCCAAATCCCCTTGTTGGAGAGGGCCACCCGAGGTTCCTGGGACCCAAGATGGGAAGATGTGGGCATCTCTTCTGGCTGTTGTGGAGAAGAGCCAGACCTGGCAGGGGCATGCAGACAGGGCCATGGAGACCTGGCAGGGATTGCCAGGCCTCATTCACACCCCTAGAAACCCTCAGGATGAGGCTACAAATAGCAGCTTATGGGCTTGACTCACCCTTGGGGAAACCTCCGTGTCCTGGCCACTTGAGCCCAGGGCAGCAGTCCCTCCTCAAGCCCACAGGTGGACAGTTCTTTGGGAGGCTGGTGGGCATGGAGGCATTTGCTGATGGGCAGCAGAACTGGCCAAGGAGGGCAAGCTGGAGCAAGGCAGTTACTGACCCTCCCCTGGGCACTGAGAGTCTGCCCAGAGGAGGGCAGAGCACCTAACACTTGGAATGCCCCGAGTCCTGGCCCTGCCCCAGCCCCTCTGCCCAGACTATGGACTGGGGGTTGTGTCTTCAGATACCTGCTGCCGCCCAGCCTCAGAAAGGCCCAGCCTGAGGTCTGTCAACCTGAGAAGTGCTTGGGAACAAGGCCCCCAGTAGGCCTACCCCCCATCACCTTGTTCTGGGAACAAAGGACCCCACCCTGGAGACAGAACATGAGGAGCAGCGAGAACCACAGGAGGAAGTCTGACCCCAGTGTGCCTCTTTGCACCCGGGACCTCCCCAGGGCCATGCCATCCTGAGGTACCTGCAGCAGGACAGGTGCTTTGGCCAGACTGAGGGACCCCCAACGTGATTTTTAAAAATATTTTTTAGTTGTAGGTGGACACAATACCTTTATTTTTATGTGGTACTGTGGATCAAACCTGGTGCCTCTCACGTGCTAGGCGCTGAGGCACAACCCCAGCCCCACCAACATGATTCCTGATGGCAGGTAGGAAGGGACATTTTGTGGCAGACAGAGAAGGCCCCCTCCCTCTCTGGTCATCCTGAGCAACCTCTGCCCAGGCCCTTCTCTCTCATGCTGACCTGGGACCTCTCCCTCACCTCCACCCATGGCCAAAATTGGAAACAGAGGTCACTACAGCCCCCGGCACATTCTTCCCTAGAGCCCAGCCCCCCACCCTTCATTCCCTTACCTGCTCATTCAGTATTCCCTGGGCAGCACCGGGGGAGGTGCCCAAGCTGACCAGGGAAGGATCAGCTGAGCTAGGACTCAGGTGGACCTGAGAGTGATGTCGGGTGGTGGGTGCACAGTTAGATGGGGCCTGGGTCTGGGGGCTGCCTGGGCTCTGAGCCTCAGTGGGGTGTGTATCAGTCAGGCTCAGCAGATGGGGGTTCTGAGCAGGGGCTATCAAGAGATCTTTGGGGACTGCAGTTTCACTGCTGAGTACAAAAGGGACAATGCTGTCCAGGCTGCCTCCTTTCCAGAGGTTGGGGACCAGGCCTGGTGCCAGCCCCAGAAGGTGGGGCAAAGGGCAGACCCAAGTGTGCCTTCCATCCCAGAGCCTACCTTCCCCTTCCAGCTTCTGCCTCCATCCATACCTGGGCCTGCGTGAAAGCATCCCAGCCTGGAGCCAGCAGAGCCACTGTGACATGCAGACAGCCTCAGGTGCAGCAACTCGGGGAGGGTGGGCAGTCAGCAGCATGACCAGCACCAGGCACACCCGGGCCTGGAGTGCCTCTCCACTCTGGCCCCAAGTACAGCATTGTCAGAAATGGGAGACCAGCTTCACCCATGGCCCTGGAAGTGGGAGAGCCGTGAACCATGGGCTTCAGGGTGCTCCTTCAAGGCCATGCTCTCCTGGACTCACCTGCACAAGGACAGCTCCTGTATCTGCCACCCACATTAGGTGGGGAGGGATGAGTGAGGGCCTTGCCCAGGGAGCCCCCAGGGTGAGGGGTAGGGGGAGAGGAGACCGGAGAGAGTGAGGCAGACCCTGTGTGCACACACGCACCCGTACACTTCATGCATGCACAGTGCTCACTCGGCCACTGTTAGGGTGCTGGTGCACACACCCCATTCGCTCGCTTGCCTACTCGTGACGTGGTAACAGGTGTGCCCCAACCACTGCCCTGGACACAGTCTGCCAAGTTCCCTCACTGCTGGGTGGGACTCCCCCAGGCCCAGGTGGGGGAAGGCAGGGATTCTGGCCCCACCTCTGCAGCAAGGCCTGGTGCATTCCTTGGGCCTCTATGTCACACTCGCCTCTGGGTACTGACTGTCCCCTGAGGAGCCCGGTGACCTCACAGTGGCAATATTCACAGGAGCCTGGGGAGGAGGTTTCAGGGCAGCCAGGAGTCTACTTCCTGGAGGGCTTGTGATGCTGAGTCACTTGGCTCGCAGAACTGGCTCCAGGGGCTGATCACAGCACCCCAGGAGCCCCTGACCCTGCTCAGGGAGCCAGTCCCTCTCTAGTCACTACCTCCTTCTGGTCCCCACCCCTCTCTAGGACCCCAACTGCTCTCTGTTCCCCTACTTCCTATCTGGGCCCTCTCTCTCTGGCCCCCATCTCCTTTCCTGGCCCTGAGGTTTCTCTCCACTCCAGGAGCAGACCGGGAAACTTAGGTCTCTTCCTGAGGTCAGGTTCCCCTCTGGTAAGGCATCACCCCCCAGCTCTCCCTCAGGCCCTGGGAGTCTTGTCCTTGAGCACCAGGATTTGGGGGAGCAACACCGCAGGGGCTTCTGATGCCCAGTCCACTGAGGTGGTCAGTGGTGCCTGCAGGCGGGTGGGCCCCCAAGGAGCAGGGGCATCCCTTGCCCTAGAATGGTCCCTCTCACATTGTGCCCTTTCCACAGGCCTGTGTGTGGGCTCCAACCGCAGAACCCGGGTTCTTGCTAGCAGTAGGGCCCACATCCCCAGTTCAGCATCACTGGTGAATTGACCACTGTGCTTAGGCAGAAGGCAGGGAAACCTCGGGACATGGGTGGAGAGGGGCCCACATCCATTGGAGGGATCCAGGTTGGTCATCTGGAGTGGAGTGGGCAGTACACCTCCCTCCGCTCACAATGGGCGCTCAGGTGAGCTGGCGCGGGGGTTGTCTGTGCCACTGGCTACCTGCTTGGCCCATCCGGCTTTGGTATGGTCCCCTCACCCTCCCTCCACTCTAGCCTCAGCCCTAGGTGAACACTGACACCAGCCCGGGCCTTTGCCCTGTGGCTGACTAGAGCCCCATGCTGACTGGCCAGAGCCAGGCAAGCTGCTGCGATCCTCTGCTGGACCCGGGTCTCCCTCAGCCCCTGGTCCCTGCCCCACGGTACACAGTGCAGGAGCGGGGGAGGCGTCTTGCCCACAAGCTGCTGTGACCACCCAGGTCACAAATGTCCGTGCTCTGATTTCATCCTCAAAGTTGCTGCTCAGGCCCTGCCTAGCCTTGACCTCTCACCTCACTTCCTGGACCCCAACAGAGGGAGGCTGGGCTGGAGTGGGGCCCTGGGCAGAGGCAGAAGAGTGCTAGGCGTGAGAATCCTGAGGATAGTCACAGGTGGATGGGTGGGAGGGGGTGGAGCTTCTGGGGAGGCAGGTAGCAGTGCAGGTGACAAGCTGGGCTATAACTGTGAGGTGTTTGTGGGTTCCCCTGCTTTGGGCCCACCCAGGAGCCATGGGCAGCCGGAACTAGAACAGAGTGGACAGACCCCCATGCTGCAGAGGCCTGGGCTGGCCCCAGACGCAGAACCTCTGATCCCCATGCGGCCATGCCTGTCCTGCTAGGTAAAGAGGATGGCCAGCCAATCCTGAAGCCCAAGCCACACCCCCAGCCACCCTGGAGGTATAAAGGCACCTGCCCACAGCTCATGCCTTGAGAACTCACACCTGTCCCAGACAGCCCACACCAGGACAGGCATACGCATCCTCTACTCCTGACAGCCAAGGTACACTTGCCAGTACCTCAGGACAGCTGCTGGCCACTGGCCCCAGGAGAGACACCTGCCAGGTGGAGCAGAGGCCAAGCCAGGACTGGAGGAGAGGGAGCAAACAGTATTGGAGCTGGGGAGCCCAGAGGCTCAGAACCCCTCTGTGGTCGGTGGAGAGGATCATGCCCAGGAGCTACTGACCCCCCGCTGCCAGGTAAGGCTGCTCAGCCTGTCCTCACCCTTCACCTGAATAGGCCCAGGGCGGAGCACCTCTGTGAGGGTGAGGCCTGGTGCCAAGGAGCAAGTTCTGTGGGAGAAAGGTGGGGGAGGGCAGTCCCGAGGTCCTCCCAGGCTCGGCCAGGGCCACAGCTATCCCTGAGATGTGGTGACATCACGTGCCAGGAGCCTGGGGCCCTCGTGACATCACGGTGATGTCAGGTGACTCACAGGACCACAGTGACAATTTAGCAATGCCTGCACCTTCCAGCTGCCCCCAGGACTGGCCAGTAAGCCTAGATCAGGGCCAGGAAGGCAAGGGGCCACCTCTAGTGAGGCCTCCTGGCTCCATGGTCCTGGGACCAGAGCCTTTGAGATGAAAGGCATTGTCACTTGTCTGTCCTCTAGGCAGGACCCTGTGGCTGGGGAGGGGCAGCAGGCAGGGCAGGGCAGGTGTCTGGTCAGCGGGGTCTTCTGAGCCCATCAGGGAAGTAGAAATGGCCATGGAAGAGAAGGCCCTGGACCCTTCAACATCCTGCTTCCTCTTCAAGGGGCAGCCATGACCTGACATTCAGGGGCACAGAGAGGATGGCTGAAGCCTGCTTCACCCTAGCCGGGGGGCATTTCCAATCCCTGGTCAAGGGCACAAGACCCTGGTCACCAGCCAGACAAGTGGGCCCCAAAGTGTCCAGGGTGCAGCTGGGAAAGCCCTTCCTTGGAATTTCACGCAGGCCTTCCCAGTCTTCCCACCATCACATGGCTCCGCTGCCCTCAGACTCAGAGACCCCCACCCACTCTACTTGGCCACTTACAACTCCCGCACGTGCCGACCAACCCAGGCGCCCACTGCATGTAGTTTCACATCACTTCAGCCGCCTACAGGCAGCCCACAAGCCCAGGGCCCCCATCCTGCAGGCTCCGGGTTGAGTCAACCTGGTTGAGCTACCCACCCTCAAGCTGCCTTTCCCACAGGGCCCGTACCCCCAAAGATGGGATGTTGCAGGAGCCATCACAGACCACTGCCATCATAAGTAGAGGCAGGGGGCAGAAGGTGTCCACTGAGCCATGAGATGCACCCCAGCACCCTCTGGGCCATCTAGGCCTGGGGCCCGCTGGACACCCAGCCCTGGGACAAGTAGGGGAGGGTAGGTGATAGCTGGGGTGAAAGAGCTCCAGGGGCACAGAAACTTTAGAGGTCCCCACAAGTGGACAGTGTGTTCCCTGGAATCTGGGGGCTGATGCTGGACAAGACTGACCTCATAGGATGGGCAGGGGACACTCACAGCAGCCTCTGTTCCACAGCCCAGCACCATGTCAACAGGCCAGCAGGTATGGCACACGGTGGTACCACCCCACTGCCGGAGCAGCCCCACAGTCTCGACACCCAGGTCACCCGGCACCCCTGGTTCAGAGAAGGTGGCCTCCCCGCTCGAGTGCTCCATCTGCTTCTCAGGTTATGACAACATCTTCAAGACACCAAAGGAACTGTCCTGCACCCATGTCTTCTGCCTGGAGTGCCTGGCCCGGCTAGCGGCCGCCCAGCCCACGGGCTCCGGCAGTGAGGCTGTGCCTTGCCCATTCTGCCGGAAGCCCACAGCTGTGCCAGCTGCTGGGGCCCCTGCCCTGCGTACCAGCCGCCAGCTGCAGGCCAAGATGCCCGCCCACCTGCAACGAGAGGAGCCAGTGTGGCTAGAGGGCACCAAGCTGTGCTGCCGCCCACTGCCTGCCACACCTGGCCGTGAGGCACCCAGCTTTGTGTGTGTGGATGTGGGCCTGAGCAAGCCTGCTGAACCTACCCCACCTGTGCCTGTCCCAGACCTGGCCCCACGCCGGAGCCGCCTGGCCCGCTGCTGGGCAGGCTGCAGGGACTGGCGGCGCTTGGCATTGGTCTCTGTCCTGCTGCTGGTGCTGTTCTGCATGGTGCTCTGGCCCGTGCAGTGCGCGCTCAAGACTGGGAACCTGCGCTGCCTTCCCCGGCCACCTACCGCCTCCAGCACTGCTGCCACTGCCTTCTCCCTTGAGCCCCTGGCTAGCAACTAGGGTCACCAGCCTATGGCCAGGCCTCCGATCCGCCGGGGTCAGGGGCACAGCAGCTACTGGAAATTTATCCCCTAGGACCCCACTGAGGGTCCTCATGAGATGGACAAAGGGTGCCCAAGGTCTCTAAGATTGATTGGCTCCGACAGGCCCTAGACGCTATCCCTTCCCCTGTCACACAGGTGGTGGAAGGGACCCAGGAGGTGCTGGCCTCCTCCACACACTGCAATGCATGGAGGGCTTACTGTCTTTGAGGCCATTTCACCAGGGCCTTCCCAGGGCTCTCTCTAGGCAGGGCTGGCCCCTTCTGTGGAGGGATCAGAGAGCAGAGGCAGGCCAGGCCCTCTGCCCAGGCCACTGCAGAAACTGCCCAGATGCCCTTCTATGCTTGCAGATAGTACATTTTAAAATAAAACGTTTTTATATCCATGTTTGGTAAAACGTTCTCACTCTGTGTCCCCGCCGCCACTCAGTCCCCACCCCTCCAGAAAGCCCCCTGTTCCACCAGCCTAGCCTCTGTCCAGGTTCCCCACTGGATCGTGGGTGGGACCAAGGACTAGGGGGCCAGCTCCAGTACCATGAGGTTCCCCTAGGGAAACAGGGACAGTCCCAGGGCACCCCAGCAGGTTGGAGCCTCAGCCTGGCCCAGCACCCAGTGGCTCTAAGGGGGCTTCTCTTTCCCCATCTCCCACCATGGCCATCCCTGCCTACCCCCAGGAAGTTGTGGACCCCCAGCCCCACCAGGAGAGCTGTTTAGGGAACCACAGGACCCAAGACCCCTGTGGAAACCAAGGCCCCAGGGTCCCTGAAGCAGAGGTGGTGACAAGCAGTGGTGGCCTGATGATCTAGACCTTGGGTCCCTCTGGTAGACCCTCAGCCCTCCTGAGCTAGCCCACCTGCTGGAGCAAGTGCATGCAGCTTTGTGGGCTGGGCATCCTGCCCACCCCACCCCACCCAGGTTCTGCCATGGCCCCAGGAATCCTGTACCACAAGGTAAGTGAGACCAGGAAGGCCCAGACCTGCCCCGAGGCCCAGATCCTTCCTGCTCCTACCAGCAGGGCCTCTGACGGGGCAGAGAGAGAGAGACCCTGTAGAATCTGGGTCCAGTCCTGGGGACCATATACACCCCTGGCCCGGGACTAGGGGGGGCCAGGGATCAGCCTAAAAACAGAACTAAAACCAGCTTTACTAGAGATGCCCTGATGCCACAGGTAGCTGTGAGAAGGAAGGGTGCCTCCATGGACACAGGCCGGGGTGTCACACCCTGTCACGCACAGTCACGCATATGTAGAGTCACCTCACCACCAGCAGGGCCAGGCACGTGAGTCTGCACACATGGTCACATGAGCATCTCTACAGGCTCTCATTCCACAGGCCTTATTGCACAGGCATGGTGGTGAGGAGGCCAGGCCTGCTGCCCTGAGATGGGCAGGGCACACAGGTCAGCAGGATACTAATACCGATGGTTGCAGTCATGTCAGGCATGGACTGTCCCTGTTGCTCACTTCACACACAGGCCAACATGGAGTGGCTGGACTTGAGGCACATTCAGGTTCACATGTGGTCACTGTCAGCTCTGCAGTCCTCACAAGGCCAAGGACACTGGATCTCAAGACTGTTCTCCTATCAGTCGGGTCCAGGTCTGGCACGCAAGTCTGAGAGGTGGACTCCAGCCCCCACCCCCCCACTCCAACACCTGAATATCTCAGGCCCTGAAGCAGCCTCCTGAAGGAGCCAACAGCTTCTAAGGGCTCCAGCCCTACCCCAGGGCACAGACAGGGAGGCGTGGGTGGAGGGTGGCAGAGGCCCCTCAGCCCCCAGGCTCTGCAGGCTCTCATAGAGGCCTGCGGGCGGAGAAGCAGGTCAGCTGGCTCCCACGAGATCCCACCCAAAACGGGTGGGATTCGCCTGCACCCCAGACCGTCAGCCAACTCACGCCGCGGGCGACCGGGACTGCGCAGGTCGGGGACTGAGGCCGAGCTTCCAGTCCTCGGCTAGGACTCGCGCTCCGCTGGGGGCCCACGCAGTCCCCGCCCCGCCCCGCCCCCACCTGCTCGCGCAAGCGCAGCTGCTCGCCTCGGATGTAGCGCTGTGGCGCTAGGTACACGAACTGGGACTGCGCCTCGCCTCGGTTTGCACCATCCGCCAGCGCGGCTGCCGCACCAGCTGGTTCGTCCAGCCCTAGGGACAACGGCGTTCAGGGCAGCTGGCAAGCAGAGGCGGCTGGAGGGGTCAGAGGCCAAGGGGGCGGAGTCGTAGGGTGGGCTCTGGGTGGGGCTAGCTGGGAGGGCAGGGCTGGAGGGGCGAGGCCCGTGGGAGGGCGGGGCCATCAGGTCAGGAGGAGGGAGAATGGAGCCGGGGGGAGGGGCAACGGGAGAGGGTGTGGCTTCTATGGGGCGTGGCCTCCGGGAGGGGAGGGGCCGGAACTGCTCACCAAATTTGCGGATGAGGTCCGCCAGAAAGTCAAACACAATGATGGTGCCCTTGCGTCTGATGCCCGCGCTGGGGTCAAACCAGGCGACCTCTTAATGAATGCAAGGAGCGAAGCCCTGGTCCAGAGGTCCAGTCTCCTATTGCTCCCTGCCGTCCCACCCCTGGTGGCACCTGCAAGGCACCACGATGAGCCCTGCGCCTGGCAGGGTTCACCTCATCCAGGTCAAGTACTGAAAGTGCTTCATTGTGCGCGGTGGCTCCTCCTGGGAGGGGCAGGTCTGGTTTGGAGAATGTGAGCCGCAGCTCCCAGGTAGGGCCACCAGGGTGAGAGGGTCCTGTTAGGACCCCTCGGTGGGAGGGGCAAAGGGGGTGAGCTGGGAGAAGGTGGAGGGGCTGGAGACAGGCCACGGCCAGGCAGGAGGGGAGGAAGGAAAGGAAAATGGGGGTGGAACAGAAAGGGAAGGAAAGAAGGAGCAGGGCAGGAGTGGGGACAGGGGGTTTCGTTTAGGCAGAGCCAGCCTCCTGCCTGAGGAATTCGCAGGACCCTCCCACAAAGAGGTGGTTGCTCAGATCAGAGCCCTGTGCTGCTGGGAAGGGGGAAGGATCTGTGCCTGGGGCAGGAATAGGCACCAATGGCACCCAGAGAAGACAGCTGCTGACAGGAGCCAGGCAGAGACCTGGGGAGGCAGATGTGAGCATGCGCCACCTGGAGCCAGGGCCAGGCCCTCTGTGAGCAGAGCCCAGTCTGTGAACCAGGTTCAGGAGAACAGAAGCCACCAAAACCAGTGGGTTTCTCAGCTCAGGACCTCCTCTCCCTCAGCATGGACCTGGGGACACCCTGGCCCTCTGACCTAGAGCCACACACATTCCACTGCCCACCACACTCACCTGGTCTGGCCGCCCCACTTGTAGCTTCGGTGCATAGTAGCCCTGTTGCACACACATATATGGCCTAACTCTTGGTGGCCCTGAAGCTCTGGCCAGTACCAGAAACACTTGTTCTGAAGGAGGTCAGCCTGTGCCGCCTCGCCTTGCAAGCACACGCATACAGGTGCAGTCATGGGCTCTTTTTCCTCCCTCCGCCCCAGTGCCCCACAGCTTTTTGTCCCGGAGGAGGAGGTGCTTCCTTGACCAGTTAAGAGGCAAGCCTGGACCTCACAGTACAGGTAGGACTCCAGGCTCCTATCCGCTCTTGCTCCACCTGTCTGATGGTCATGACAGTGACATGTGTGTCCTCTTGGTACATCATGCCCCAGAAGGCAGCTGCCGAGGTCTGCAGGGAGCCCTGTGTAGCAATGTACACTTTGCCCACTCCCAAGTCTGATTTCTCCTCTGGGTCACTCTGAAAGGGGGTGAATGTCAAAATTAAAGCTGAGAGGACAGATCTAAGTTTATGCAAGTGTGCAAAAGAGCCTAGGTAGTTCCTGGTTCCTCACACTTAAGGCCAGGGGAGGGCTTAGGAGTCACACTCAGTCCAGCTTGCTCTGAAGACCCTGCTGGCTGGCTTTCAGCCTTGCCAGGGTCCACACTTTGCTCTCCACCCCTTGGACCTCCCAGCATGGTCTCTGGTGCCTAAGATGGAGCCCGGATGACTGGAGGGGCAGATACAGGTCAGGATCTCCTGTGCGATCCAGACAGGACTTGAGGGCAGGATGTCATGCACACCTACCTGCTCCCTCACACACCCACCTGATGCAGTTAGCATTGATGTAGTCGGCTCCAGGCAGGCTGGTGTCCACGTCATGCAGGGTGACATGGGTGGTATCAACTGGGAAGGGAAAGAGGCCATTCAGGTCTCCTGGAGAGGTGGGAAGCTCAGGGGCACCACCCTGTCTCCTTGCCCACTGACCTGTGATGAGCAGAGGTGGTGAAGTCTGGGGCCTTGTGTGTGAGAGGGAGCCAAATCTGGTGGTGGGCACTCCCTGCCTCCCCCAGGACCCCTGCCAGGTGGTCTCCATATGCCCATGGCAGTGAAGCACTTGCCTCACGGGAAACGATGTTCTTGCAGAGGTCATCGGGCTTGTTCTCTGGCCTCTGTCCCTTCTTCCAGGGTTATAGGAGCCAGCATTCCTGCTGTTGCAACACCTGGGAGAATGGAGGCTTCAGCTGTGGCCCTGTCCCTCTGCAGAGCCCTCAATGCCACCACCCCGCCCCAGCCCTGGAGGATGGAGTCAGAGGTAGGCAGCAGGAAGGGAGCACCTCAGACTCCTCGCAGAGGCCCTGCTTGTCTTCCCACGGGCATCTGCAGCCTGGGTGAGCTTCTGCACGCGACTCTTGGCTCTGATTCTTGTGGCCTTGTGGGGCTTCCAGGCAGAGGCCCGAGCTGAGGTTAGCAGAGCCCCCAGCACCCTTCACCAAGGTGGCCACCATGCCCTGACCAGGCCTAGGACCCTCATTCTGGAGAGGACACTGGGGCCATGTGCCAGGGGCCTTGCCTATTCCTCCCTTCTCTTGGTCCTTCAGATTCCCAGGGCAAGCCTGCAGGAAGTCTTACCCCTTGCCCCTTTCGTGGAGGGGTCAGTGCTGGCATCCCTTGGGCCCCCGGGCTCATGCCGCAGCCTACCTGCTTGAGCTGCGTGACGGCCCCGACTTCTCCTCCAAGGGGTTGGAGACGCCTTCCTGTAGTGTCCCACCAGGTCTCTCAGGATGTAGAACTGCTCCCTACCTCCCGCCATACTTCCCATCAGTTTGTGGGGTGGCAGTGAGGGGCCTGGCTGTGAAGCCCGCCCTTCCCAGAGTCACAGCCCTCTCATGCCGCCTCCCGCTTGGAAGCAGACCAGAACGTAGGTGATGCGTGGCTGCGGTCGGTGCCCGGTGCCTCCTCTGGCTCCTGAGTCAGCCCTGTGAGCACAAACTGCCCAGGGTCGCTCTGATTCTCCTGTACCAGGAAGCTGCCCGGATGCCCCTTCTCCATCAGCGGCTTCTCAGCCTCCTTGCCAGACAGGTGCCTGTGGTACCACCTGGCCCAGGGTGAAGCTCAGATGAGGTTGGAGGCCCTAGCCTGGGAGAGACTCGTATGAAGCTGACACTTCAGAAACACATATGGAGACAGAGACAGACAACATCAGACCTCAGGCCCAACGGCCTTGGAACTAGCGGGCCCAACCCTCTGACCCTCTCTCTTCCCCCAGGAGTGCTAAAAGACGAGACAGCTGTGTTGAGCAGGGTGCGGGGTGGCCACCAGGTGGCAGCCTGGTCCTCAGCCACAAGAAGCAGAGCGGCCTCCCAGACCAGCCCACCAGGTCCCTGGCACAACCAGCTTCCTGTAGTGGGGAAACAGACTGCAGGAGCTGGCTCACCCCAGTCACTAGCCAGGAGGGTAGTGGTGGCATCAGGGCCCAGTCCCCTGCTCTCTCACCCCTGCACTTGTGCTTTGGACTTGGGGGACACGGGCCTCATAGCACACGGGGGCAGGGCTGCCGACACTCTCAGTTTGGCGGCCAGTGCCCCCCGGGTGACTGAAGAGTAGGTGAGAGGCGGTACCCAGCCGACTCACACACTTGCATACACATACAGGTGCCATCAGCCCAGGCTCATCACTCTGACGTGGGGTCCTGGCAGCCCAGTGGGCCCTGCTGTGATCATGAAGCAGCCTCCCACACTGGCCCGTGCCGTGCTGCCCCAGCTCAGCCAGCGTGGCGGACTTCTCTCCCTATACAGGTCACAGGCGTCACCCACGTTCTGGCTCATGATGTGGCTCCCTCCTTGTGCCACCTGGAGGGCAGGTTCAGGGCAGCTATGGGAAGGGAGCCTGGCTCCCACCATCCCCCGCCTCCCGTCTTCACTCAGCCTCCGGGACAGTCTCTGGGCTTTTCCTGCCAGAAACAGATGGGGCCAGGACCCTCCCCACTGCAGCTCTTGTCCAGTCAGTGTGGGCACCTCCTCCCACCCCCTGCCCAGGACTAGGCTTTGGGACCCCAGGCCCAAGTTCCTTAACCTGGAGGCCAAGGCTGGGGCAGCCCACCGCCAGTGGTCCTGCCCAGGAGCGCCCAACCAGGCTCAGTCCCTTACCCACCCCCTATGTGCTCAAGTCAGGGTCCCAGGTGCCACCGTACAGTTGGGGAGCTCTGGGGAAGAAATTCTCTCTTTTCAAAGTGAGCCTGCTGCCTCAGGCTTAGGAGAGAACCTAGGCAGACCTGAAGCCTGTTAGAGCCCCAGCGGCCACTTCTCCTCACAGACTGATGCCTCCTAGTCCAGGCAGACATGGGTCCAGCTGTCTACTCTGCTGGTCACAACTCCTCCCACACAGTCCCCAGGAGCTGGCCCCCAGAGGGCAGGCAGTGGGACCAGCTCTGCCTTACCTCCCTGAGCCACCCCAACAGAGGCACAGCAGCTGCCCCACAGCACCCAGTTTCCCTCAGCTACTGCCCACTACCCTCTGGGAGCATCCTAAGGTGTTGAGAACCCTTGCCTGGCCAGGCCCACCCTCCTGCAGACAGCGTGAAGTCCCCTGGGCTGCTCTTGCTGGGCCTGCCTGGGAAGCTCCCGTGGGGCCCTGGGACAGAAGCAGCATCTCTGCCTCCGCCCCACTGGTGTTGGGGTGAGACCACCTGGAATGGGGGCAGTAAGCTGGAGACTGCAGACCAGTCCTGCCCCAGCCCCTGCATCATCTCTGCAGCTAACACCCACAGTTGCCAAGGGGGCCTCCCCACGCTCAAAGCTGGCGATGGGCCATGATGAGGAAGGAGGCGGGGGCCAGGTGGGCGAGGGAGGCCCTTCCAGTGCGTCCACAGGACGGCCATCAGAAGCACCTTCCACATGACCCAGCTTCTCAGGGTGGAGCTGGGGCCTGCCACAAACATGAGCCCTTGTTCAGACCCCCTAGAGCCACCCCACTAGCCCCTTGGTCTTGGAAGACTTCAGCTTCCTGGCTGCAGGAAGGAAGGCTTTGCCCAGCTCTGGGGTGTGCTGCCCTGGGTGGCTGACAGAGGCCGGCAGCTGCTGTGCCCTTCTGGCTTGTGGACTTCCTGTTCAGCCCCCATCACAGGCACCACACTGAGTAGCCTGCTGAATGTCTCCTACTCAAAAATCAAGTTCCATAAGTGCCACTCTGTGTGCTGCCGTATTCCACGGCTGAAAACAGTGCCTGGGATCAGAAAATAATCACGTTCGAATCAAGAAGTGAATGACCTGGGCTGGGGATATGGCTTAAGCGGTAGCGCACTCGCCTGGCATGCGCCAGGTGCTGGGTTCGATCCTCAACACCACATAAAAATAAAATAAAGTTATTGTGTCCACCTAAACAACTAAAAAAATAAATATTTGAAAAAAAAGAAGTGAATTACCATCAACATTCATAGCAGCACAACTCACAATAGGTAAATTATGACATTGACCCAGATGCCTGTCAATAGATAATGGATTAAGAAACTGTGGGCTGGGATTGTGGCTCAGCGGTAGAGTGCTCACCAAGCATGTGCGAGGCCCTGGGTTCAATCCTCAGCACCACATAAAAATAAATAAATAAAGGTACTGTGTCCAACTACAACTAAAAAATAAATCTTCAAAAAAGGAAATGTGATACGTGATACACACACACACACAATGGAGTTCTACTCAACCATAAAAAAAGAATACAAGTATGGCATTTGCCAGTAAATGGATGGAAATGGAGAATATTACACAAACTGAAATTGGCAAAACTCAGAAACCCAAAGGTCAAATGTTTTCTCTCCTTTGTGGAAGCCAGAGTAAAACAAAGGAGAGGATAAGATAAAGAACCAAATACAAATTAATGTAAGTGAAGGAAGTCTAGCAGAGCAGAGGAGGGAGAGGGCAGGGAGGACAGGAGGGAAAAGGGGGATCAGGAACTGGAATCGAATTCCGTGCGTGTAGGAGTTTGTTGATATAAACCCAACTACCACGGGTAACCTTAAGGCTCTACTAAAAGAAGAAGTGAGTGACTAAGAATGGCAGGCGGTGGGTGGCAGAGGGCTGTCAGTGGATGGGTGGATGGGTGGATGGGTGGGTGGAAGCAAGCAGCTGGCAGGAGCCATTGAGAAAGCCAGAGGCCACCAGTTCGCTGACTACAGGGCACAGCAGGACAGAGGCAAGTGCTGGGAGGGAGGAGCCGCAGCAGGCCCAGACGTGGCAGGCCTCCTGTCAGAGCCTGTGCTGCCGTCCACTGTCCACTGAACATGAGCCTCCAAGTAGGTGCAGGCAGGGAGGCTCTTCCGCAGACCCTCTGTGTCCCTCCAGATGTCCTTGGCCTTGCCTCCCGCTCCCCAACCTCACTGAGCCTCCTTCCAGGCTCCTCCCCACCCCTGGCCCCAGGTCCTGCTCTTCCTGGGGAGTCCATGCTTCTCTCCCACCTCCGGGGGCCTGGCCATGGTGCTTTGCTCCTCATGTGGGGTGGGGTCCCACTGAGTCCACCTGCCACTCACCCTCCAGCCCTAGCCCTGCATGGAGCTGCAAGCTCACAGACACCTCAGCATCTCCATTTGTAAAGATAGCAGCATCTTCCGCAATATTTGCAGGATTTGTCTCCTGTTCTCCATCTTCCCTCTCAGCAAAGCAGCCACTGTGCACCCACTGCCTGGGCCTCAACCCCAGCAGCGATCCATCAGCACTCTCTGGTCACACCTTTGCAACATGCGCAGAGTCCTCCCTTCTCCCCACCCCTGGCCCCATGGCAGATGGCTGTGTTCTCAGAACTTCCAGCTGGACCTGCCTACTGCTGGTCATCGGCCTTTCGGCTGTTGGGAAGCACCAAGAGTCCTGCAAAGCAGTCCCCCAGCCAGCAGGTGTGCCCCATGGATACAGGCATCCACACTGCCTGAGAGGCCCACCCCAATGCCATTGTGCCTCCATGACTGCCCCTCTGTACGTCACCGGAGCTTGTGGCATGTGTGAGGAACAAGTGTCCCCCTGTACACTCCAGTGTTGACCTGCCGCCCTGTGGATTCTGCCCAGGCGTGAACCCATCGGCAGCTCTGTTCTGAACCTGATGGCTCCCCAGAGCATACACTTCAGTTCAGAGGGACCAAGAGCTCAAGGGGCTGCTCCAGGGTGGTCCAGCAGTACACTCCGGTGCCACCTTCCCTGTGGGGAAGAAGGGGTTTCTGGGCTTGGTGCCTGAGCTCCCTCCCACGCTGGCAGACCTTGGGAAGTTCCCACTAAGGGGGCCAGTGGGTTGGAACCAAGGAGGGCTTTCTGCAGGAGGAGGTGCTACATGGTGACGCCTGGGGCCAGTCTAGGACAGCAGGCAAGGCCACAGGAAAAAGGCAGGCAAAGGTTCCATGTCCCTGCATAGTACTGACACTGCAGAGGAAGAGGGACGGAACCCAGAGGTGCCTTCCCGCCCCTACCTGGGCTGCCCACAATGCTGACCCACATCCTGAACCCAGGTGCTGTCCAACAGCCCCAGATGGGCAATAGCAGAGCTGGGGGCAAGGGCAGTGCCAAGGTCCAGCTTCAAAGCCACAGGGGTGAAGGGCCCCGTTTGTCCTTTTGGGGACTCTTAATCATACTTTTAATCCCCTGTCCTCCCACCAGGCTGCCAAGAGTCTATCAGGTAGAAACCTCCAGTGGGGGGCTCCCTAGCTGCAGTGGCTCCCACCAGTCTGAGGCAGGGTCTGATGGTGGAGTGGGGTACCCAGTAGGCCAGTGGGCATCTGCATCTGGCCGAGGCTGGTAGGAAGAGGGAGGGAAGAAGGGAGGCCACAGAAAAATCCAACCAGGATCTGTCCTGACTATACAGGACCAAGTGGACCGAGATGTGCTTCCTCTCCAACTCGGGGGGTGGGGTACAGTAGGCTTGTCCCCATGGGGTGCAGATCCTCCCAGGTTCTAGCATGGGCACAGAACCAGTCCTGTCCCCATCCTGCCTCGCTATGCTGAGTGGGAGGGGGGCGTGAGTGGTGCCTGTTGACCCACAAACTAGGGTGAGAGGGCAGGGGGAGGGCTTGGCTCTACAATTTGGTGGGGCCTGCCAGGCCTGATAGGGTTGTGGGCAGGGGCCCAGGACCAGAGGAGGAAGAGTCATCACAGGTGAGGTAGGGAGGGGAGCAGGTGAGCAGAGCCCAATCTGGGGCCTTCCCAGACCAACCTGGGTTACCCGCATATGACACAGACGTGGCCCTCTCTGAGATCAGTACTGTATTCAGAGGACAAGTGAGAATGAGGTCAAGGGGACCAGTTTCTGAGGTGGACATTATACCTGGGAATCACGGGGCTGTTGGCTTGCGAGTTCTGTGATCCAATTCACTTCCACAGTTCCTCAGCCTCTGAGGGCCCAAGACTGTGCCAGGCCTGTCCTCTCTGCATCCCACACCTCACTCTCTACCCAGAGATCCCAGGGCCCTGATCTGAGGATGGCTGCTCCGTGCCACTGGGGACCTCTCCTGTGAACTGCAGCCTAACCAAGCACCAGAGATGGGCACTCGGGGTGATATGCCAGATGCCAGGACATAGGGCTATGTGGATCATGCTGTTGCTGGTCCCTACCCCTGCCCACATGCAAGCTAGAATTTGCACTTACATGGGGTGCACAGGAGCAGGGGTCCCACAGCAAGAGCAGGAAGTGCTGGCCTGTGGCCTGATCCAGTTCTCATGCAGGTTTAGCCCTGAGCCTCAGTTCAGACCTCCCAGCAGGCCAGGGAATCCTGCTCCAAAGAACTGGGCTCCCTGCGGGGCTGGAGGGGAGAGGCCTGTTGAGGGAGGGCTGGTTCTGCAAACAGCCCAAGTGTGTACAGGCTGATGGTAAGGGGGTCTCTACCCCCAGACCTCCAGGCCTGCCTTCAGTGCCCTCTAACAGGCTGCATCTCTGGTGGCAAAAGGGAGCAGGAGCAGGGCCTGCCACACTAAGCAGGAGGAGGTGCCACTGTCCTTCCACCGCCACCCCCCACACCCGGGCTACCTGCCGGGCACCTTCCCTAGGGTGGGGAGCAGCTGATCTCCAACCAGGCCCAGCCTCTGCAGTTAGTGAAGAGGCTAGGTGTCAGAACCTCGGGCCTGGAGGCAACGGGCTGGAAGCACCGGGAAGTCCTGCGTCGCAAGAATCCCGCGCCCACTGGTGAGAGGTGGTGGGAGCTGAAGCGCGTCTCTTGGCACCGACGTATCCGGACGCACGAAGGCCGGGCTCATCTTTGCGAGGTCACGCCAGCCCTCGGGCTAACCAGCCCCACCCCTGCCGGCTTCATTAAAATGCAAACCCCTGCCCCTGCAAGCGCCCCGTCGGCCTTGGAGCCTGGGAACTCCGGATAAAGGTGCTAAAGTTTCCCAGGGTATCCGCACTTCAGAGCGAAGGGATGCGCACGGGATTCCGGGTTCCGAAGGTTAAGGCCTATCACGGCCCCACGGCCCTAGTGGCCTATGGCCTTGCCACTCAGTCTACACGATTACCAAGGGATCAGCCCTAGGCTGGAAGCTGCTCCTTCTAAGAATCTCCTGTGCTCGCTCCGAGTTGGGGCGGCGAAGCCAGAGGAGGGCGGAGTAGTACCCCCTCCCCCACTGCAGCCCCGGAAATCCGGGCAGAGGTGGGAGGTGGACACCCGGTCATCCCCTTCCTTGCTGCAGTCTCTTCACTTCCTTGTCACAGGGGCACCCTAGCTGTGGGTCAAGCCTGCTGGTGTCCTGGGGTTCACAGCCACTGCTCTTCTGGGGTCATGCAGACTTTCTAGAATGGTCCACTGTGGCCAGGAACCATCTCCCCTGGGGTCTTTGACTTCAACCTTTGCTCCTGCATCCGGATGCACTGTCGCCCAGAGAGCAGGGTCAGTGCTGTCCTGACTTCCTCTCTGACTCACCCCTGATCCCAGAAGGCATGTCACCCTCTCCCTCTCCTTGTCTTCCCTTCTGGGTCCTCACCTTCCCTTCCTGCTTCCCTGTGGTCCTCCCCTCCACCTTGGCTCACCCTGCAGCAGGCCATGTAAATGCTGGAGTCCAGGAGGGGCCTGAGCTCCCCAAGCCAGGGGTCCTGGCCAGGTGCTGCCAACCAGGGCCTGCCTTTCCTAGCCTAAATGACCCAAACCCCGTCCAGCTGGGCCACAGCTCTCTCCCACGCACCCTGTGTCCCAGGGCAGGCCTTCTCATGAAGCCTGAATATTTCGTGCCTAAAGTCCTCCCCAAGCCCCAACAGCTTCACCCTCAATGGCTTCTCTGACCTGGCCCTGGCCTCTGGCTGTTCCTATGCTTCCTTTCTGCCCCAAGAACCTCTGTCCAGACTCAGGACACTTACATGTGCCACTCCTGGTGCAGATGTGCCTTGCAATCCCTGTGCTTGGGTAAGGGTTGATATCTTTAGCTGGTCAGGTGCTCCCAACCCTCCCTGAAGCCTAAACTAGGGCAGCCCCCACCAGCACCACTGCCTCTTGCAACCCCCAGCACCTGCCTCCCCCAACCCAGCATCTGACTTGCCTGGTGTGCAGCAGCCAACACTCCTTAAGGAACAAATTAGTGAGGGGGTAGGAAGTGAATGCCCGAGGACTCCCCGGGTCTGAGGTTGACGGTCTTTTTGTTGGGAGGGGGTGCTCATTAATACAAAATCAAACAGGTGCACTTATTATC